AGCTGAAATCTCAACTCAAGAAGGAGTCAGGGTGGCTTAGTCAGATATGGGTGTCTACCAGATAGCATCTACCTATAGGCAGGTAGGATAATAGAATGTCTACCTCCAGAAAGCCCTGTAGGGAATCCCAGCTCTGCAGTCTGGTTTTGCTTCTCAGCTCCTTTACCAAATCTATCCTTTGACCTGGTTTTCTATTGAGTCTCTGGTGACTCTGGTGTAATGATGGTCGGGAGTCACAGGACTGTACCTATGTGTGAAGAGGTGTCCTCTCCTGTGTCCTACTATGCTGTCTCCAGTATGTTACTCATCATCTTGCATTGTGTAAGACAAGCGCACTCTATCATCATGGAGCCGTCTCCTGTCTGCAATGGGCTGCTCTTCTCCTTGAAAAGAAACAAGCAGATCTGCCCCCATGGATGGGACAATCCCATCTGCATTTCGAGAGCGATATTCAAGGGAACGTGCACTTGATCTATCTTGGGATGAACTGATTTGCACTCTGGAGGTCTTCACGAGCTATAAAAAGAGGGGATATAGTTCAGGCTTAGCCATCTACTCCTCAGATGTCAAATTTAGAATAGATGAATCATACCTAGAGTGATTTGTCCAGTTTTTAGACTAAGCCTGTAGGAAAGCTGAGGCGGGATCCAGAAGCAATGTATCCCAGACTTTATTTTTCTTTCTTTCTAAAAAAATACAGCAGGTATTTAGAAATCTAGTCTTTGCCAAATGAATTGTTCTTGCAAAGAATTGCACTATAATAAACCACATCATTAAAAGAAAATTGTTCTGTGAGCAACAGAGCCTGATTTCCTGTGGTTTTGTGTCTCATGGCTGGATTATCTTGTGTCTAATGAAGAGCACTCTGACTGAAGCCTTTTCTCCCTTTCACAAAGACTCTGTCTCATGTGGATTCTCTGGTGTCTAATAATATAATTGGACTCAAGCTGCAGTTGTTTATGTTCTCTCATGTCTGACAATGTAATTTTGCCCATGTGACAAGCTATGCCTCTGTGGAGACATAAAAGGGTAATTCTTCTCCACCCTGTGCCACTTTTCATAAAACTGGTTGAAAATTAATACCCTTGTGATTTCTGTCACACTGTTAAATTTGACTGAAATTGGCCAACAGTCTAAAAGATTATTGAGAAAAGGACTGGACTGGCAGAAGAATATTATAAGCCTAATTTTCATAGGTAATCAGTTTATAAATGATGAAAACACTTGAACAGATTAAACGTGGAAAGAATGCTCACAAATATTTGTTTAAACATTTAAATGTTTGATGTGATCATTTTTATGCCTCCTTTCCATTTCAGCTTTTTAAGCTCAATTCATAGTCATACAAAAGAACACCAAGGGCACAACATCCCACTGGCCATGCTTATACTTTAACAGTGTAAGTGAATATTCAAATAACAAAATATTCTGGGATTTTTTTCACAGAAATAGGATTTTCTAAGTTTTTCTGTCATTTAAAAAAATGAATTTAGAAAAGGAATATTCAAAAAACCAGAAACTAGATTTTGAAGATAACTCTCACATCATCAGAGAATAAAAATAGTCATATGGTCTGTGCTGGAATATCAAATATTTTTTTAAAAACCTGAAAAGAAAAAATATCAGAACAAAAATTCTTTGCTTAAATGATTGATGAAAATGTTTCAAAAATGCGGAAGAAAACTGTGATTTATTTTCACACACACATACACAAATTACAAAGGAAAGAAGGGAGATCCACTGGCTAAATTGTTCATTGCAATTTATTTTCCCCATGCCTGAACCATTGAAATGTGATTATCATAACATGATTTTTGGAGGGATTTGTATTTTCTTACCTTGGACACAGTTCAGATGAATGAGCTACCATTGCACTCCATGCTAGGGTAGCTTATCAAATTAGGAAAATGCATTTTTAAATTCAATTACACTCTCAGTGGAAATGGTTTCTCTGACTCTGGTAATCTTTGGAGAGGAATTATACACAGTCTATAAAGTTTCACATTTCAAAATCTAATTTACAATGTTATTCAAGAGGTTAATTTAAGATTCATCTTCCAAAAGAGGAGTTAAATAAAATGGATAGAAGACTGGAAGTTGTTGAGCGGTTGAGAAGTTTATCAGCATGTGAGTATGAGTTCATTAGTTTTAATTAGTATAATCACTAATGTTGCATTAACAGTTTGGTGAGAGAAAGTAATTGCTCACACCCACTGTATTAGATTGGGAGATTAGAATTCATTTTATGAGGCAATTAGCATTTCAGGGATTTTCTTAAAAAGCCTTTACAATCTGCCATTCCAGTAGCCTTCACCAAAAGAGTTTAAATTAACCATAACTTTCATCCTAATGGGATGCAAGAATTAATGTAGAGTTAAGAGGGAACCAGACCGTTCCTGCAGTCCCACCATGATAAGCAGGCAGCTATAGAAACAAACCTCGATTAATTTATAATGACCTGCTTTTCTTCCCAGATAATGCTAGTCATTTCTCAGTTCTTGATCTCTGCTTGGAAAACCTACATTCGTGAATTTTATACAGCAATATGACAACAAAACAAAAAAAATGAGGAGAAAAAGAAGATGGTAAAGTAATGGTTTGAAGTAATGATTCTCCAAAGAAATGGCTGGATGATTCAGTTATTACCTGTTCAATTATTGTTCACTTATAGTCTGTTATTCCTTGCATCAAATGTCAGAGGAAATAGAAGTGCCACTCATTGACCCCTGGTGTCACAGGAAGAGTCATGCATGGGGCAGCATGCACAACCCTGCCTGCCCATGATGTTTCCCTGCCAGCTGCTGACAAACCAGAAAGTTGCATGGAGATTCAGGACCTAACAGTCCTGGCTGGAAAGAGAGCTCTGCTCATTTAAGGACTGGGACATTCACCCAAGAGATTGCCTTCCAAAATGCCATGAAAAGCAAAATATAAATTGTGCAGAGAAAAAATGACAGCAGCAAGAACATTTAATCTACCATATATAAGAGCTGCCATGAGTAGCATCTAGGTATCCATAGAAAGGTGTGACTACACACAGTTTCCAACATAAGCAAGGTGGTGGTGCAGGTGGTGATGCTGGAAACAGCTCTGAAGCCCACACTGCATTGGAAACATCCCATGTTCTGCACCTCTTGGATCTGTTCTTCCAGGCTGTGCTGGAGCAGATGCCACAGGGTTATGCCCTCTTTGTATTTTCAAGCTGTCCTTTGTAAGCTTCTGCGAGAAACTTGCTTTGTCTTTTGAGGAAAGATGCTGATGCATTGCAGGGTTTCAACAGGCAGAGCACAGGCGTAAAATCCTTAATTTATCCCAACTAACTACAGCGTATAACTTACAAACCCATAGCAGACTGTAAGTAACTTTCATTTGAGTATTGGGTGAATTTCTTAAATTTTCCTTAATTATATGCATAATTAAATCTGCATATTTAAACACTATGTGTATACGCATGCACATATGTTTAAATCACATGCACACATGTGCATATATATGTATATGTATATTATGTACATATATGCACATACTGTTACTCCTTATACATATAGATACATCTTTTTCCTATTAGCATCATCAAAGGAGTTCAGAGGGAGAAGAGACCTTCCTACCTTTATATGCTTAAAATTCAGGTGCATCTATAGACTGGCTCCAAGCCTTAGTCACCTGTGCCCCACTTAGGAGGCAAATTACTCCACCTAAGACCTGAACCAACCCTTGCAAGTGCCTCCCTCCTTCTATTAACTGCACAAGCAGTCTAAGATAACCAGATTTCTGTTTCATATGGCTGCAGCAAAAGCTTAAAATCAGGTTGAATGAAGCATGGCCATCATGCCTGTGCCTTAGGGTTTCTCTGTGCGTGGAGTTATAGCAAAACAGACATTATTCTTCCCAAATAACACAGCATGTGCATATGCTTTGAGTAAGGCTTGTTCCTCCTCAGCAATATCCACCTGACAGAAACAGAGGGGTTTGCTTCCTAGTTCTCCTGTGGAACCATTCTGCAGGAGTTACTGCATTTTCAGTTAATCACCCTACCTTAATCCAAATGAACTTTAGTAGAAATATGCCCTAAATTTTCCATCCATCCACCTTTGAGGACTATTTCAGCTTTATGTAGGAAAATACAATTAAGCAACAAATACAATGGCCAAAAAAAAAAGAAAAAAAAAATGAAGGCATTCTATACAATAAAAATTGACTTTTATGTCACAAATTATGTGTGCTATAAAGCATATTGTTTCAGGAAAAAATGTCTGCATTCGCTAGTGTGTTTCATTAAAGAATAATAAAGCTATACATATTTCATTTCCTTGTTCTGAGCTGAAAGAGCTGTAACTCTATAAAATGCCCCATGCTGTCCTTGTTTTGTTGGGCTTTTTTTTTTTTTCTTTTTAATGAGTTTTTTTTTTTCCTCCGAACTAATGAAATTGCTCTTTAAACACATACATCTCTCATTTGAAGTGACATACCAAGGCTCAACCATTTTGTCTTCTCTCATGGGGAACAAGACAATTGACAGCAGCTGTGTAAATCCACGCCTGAATTGCCCCAGTTTCTGTGTGATTTCAAAAACAATGAGTTCCCATGTCCCCACCAGTGTCCTTCAGGTGGGATTTTAGTTGACTAGCATCTGCGGGGACTGCACCTTGAATATCTGCATCAGATCCTTATTCATTAACTGTTCTGTGTGATTTATAGTCATTCAACTCTATCCTACCTATAGGACAAGAGGGAACAGCCTCAAGTTATGCCAGGGAAGGTTCAAGTTAGATATTAGGAAAATTTCTACATGGAAAGAGTGGTGAAGCATTGGTACAGGCTGCCCAGGGAACTGGTTTAGTCACCATCCCTGGTAGTGTTCAAGAAATGTGTAGAGGAGGCACTTAGGGACATGGTTTATCGGGCATGGTGTTGACGGGCTTACAGTTGGAATCAATGACCGTGAAGGTCTTTCCCAACCGTGATGATTCCATGATTTTATGGTTTGTGTCTTCCTCCAGTATGCGTCGACTCGCTGTGCAGCTGCCCAGGCACCCGCGGAGCAAGGCGTCCTTCCTCCCTGCCACCACCACGAAGCGGTGCACGACCCCCAGCTGGTGCCTTGCACATGCCCGCTCTTCTCTTGCCAGTGGGAAGGGCACCTGGAGGTGGTGGTGTCGCACCTGAGGCAGACGCATCGCATTGATATCCTTCAGGGGGCAGAGATCGTCTTCCTGGCCACGGACATGCACCTGCCGGCACCCACGGACTGGATTATCATGCACTCTTGCCTCGGCCACCAGTTTCTACTGGTCCTCAGGAAGCAGGAGAAGCATGAAGGGCATCCCCAGTTCTTTGCCACGATGATGCTGATCGGCACGCCAACCCAAGCTGATAACTTCACCTACCGGCTTGAGCTCAACAGGAATCAGAGGCGCCTTAAGTGGGAAGCCACCCCGAGATCGGTACTGGAGTGTGTTGACTCTGTCATTTCGGATGGGGATTGCCTTGTGCTGAACACTTCTCTGGCTCAGCTCTTTTCTGATAATGGAAGCCTAGCAATAGGAATCGCAATAACCACCAGCAAAGTGCACAGCGCTGAGGCTGAAATATGAGGGAGAAGAGGAAGAAGAGGAGGAGGAGGAGAAAGAGGATCCTCCAGCTGCCTTGTGAGAGCCAGAACTTGCAGACTTTTTTGGGGGGTCTCAGGTCTTTTATGGTATTTAGTACTTGTCCACAGTGGGCATTATGTAAACATCCTGTGGTCACAGTCTCCATGTAATGTATTTACTGTTTTGTTAATACAATTTTGTGAGAAATTTTAAAGAGGCTGATCAATTTGTTGTCTCCCTCCAAGCAATTCTGGTCAACCTTTTGAGCTGACACTGCTCTCATGGAAAGTGCTCCAGGGGTGACCCGCAGAAACCATTGGTGTGAATATGCTATGAGAATGTGTTTCCCTCATTGTCTGCCTAATTGCCTGGTATTAGGGAGGTCTCAGTGCCTGAAATAAGGTAAAATATTCCAGTAGGGAATGGAAGCACCCAAGTTGCAGCAGAGTCCATGATCAGAAGCAGCTTCAGAGAAAGTGCTGTGCAGTGAGTTGACCTCAGGTGGACTGAATTGCACAGGCCTCCAACTGTTTGAAGGTCCCCTGCTCCTTCCCTTGGCACGTGCTTGTTGCCCTGTGCTTGTTTTTTTGTGTGTGTTCTAGCAATAATAATTTAACTTTTGTACCACAGTTGCAGCCAAGCTCTCTGACGAATAGCAGTGCCTGCCCCAGGGAGCTCAGAATTTCAAAGCTCCCTTCATCTTCATAGAGTGAGGACGCAACATTCACCACCCGGATAACAAACTCTCCAGAAGAAAAATTCACCACCTTCACAAAGATAGGTCCTGGGAAGCCTCATCCTGCAATAAATCACCAGTCACAGCTAGTGGACAGTCAAAAACAATTGAATTGTACTCTTGTATTAGGATTGTGAGTGACAGACTTGCTAGATGTTCTAGCCTCAAGACGGAGATCACCTACAACCAGTCCTTGGGGCATTCACTTTTTTTAGCTTCTATTTCCTTAAAGAGTCAAAAAGAATTTTTCAGAAAATAAAGTGTCAGGAAGGTCCCAAGTTGTATATTGATCTTCCTGTTGAATTCTGGGCTCCTTTGCACCACAGTTTATGCTGAAAAATACTGATTTAAAACAGTGACAGCTGAAATATCTATTTGCAAATTGGCCATGAGACTTGAAATGTTCTCTTTAAAATCACCACCATTTTTTTTTCTAGGAAGTAGGGAATGTCCTTTTTTTTTTCTGGGAGCGGTTCTCACACACTTTTGGTCATGAGAGGACATGGTCTTCTCTAAGAGCTTTTCTCCAGGATGAATCCTCAGAGAGACACAGAGACACATGCTGTCCCTCTCTGAGTGTTTGGTCACATCTGAGATCAGGAATACTTGTTGGGTGGCAAACATTAGCAGTGGAATCCTGCTGCAGCATGGTGATGGGTTAAGGGAGAGGGGTCTCCTGGAGGCAGGAATGTGAGGAAGGCTGGAGCAATGTCTTTTCCTGCTTCCACTTCTGCCCATGAGTGGCTGTGATCTGCCTGCTATCCAAACACTGCACATCTCTCTGAGATGCAGCTGGGTAGGTTGTGTCAAATGGTAGTCAGAGACACCAAGCCTAATTGCCTAACCCCTGAAAAAAAAAAAAGAAAAAAAGGAAGATATTTAAGAACTTATTTAAGAACAGTCCTTCAACATTTCAAAAGCATTTCAGTATACCTAACTCTGGGTAGAAAAAAGCATTGATGCTAATTTCTCCCCGCTTGCTGCTCTCCTGGGATTTATTGTAAACTGTGCATGAAATAAAACAAATCACAATTCAAATTGCAGTTTTCCCAAGATGAATGCTACACAGGGATGCGTCTGAGTTGCAGATGCAGCTCACCGCCTTGCCTGGGTCTTCGTAACAGGTCACTGCACAGGGACATGCCAGGATTTCTTCAACAAGCTGCTCATAACTACATGGAAATGGAGACTGAAGTCTGAAAAGGAAGCATTAGTCCTTATAAAGATATGCCAGGGGCTTGCCAGCACAACTCTTCCACCTCCATATTTTGGGGGGAACGTGTTGGCTTGTTGCACTTCTCTGGAACACATAGGCTTCAGAAAGGCTTGCCTTTTCCCTGTTAAATGTTAAATATTCACAACCAACAGCTACTGCCTTTTCCTAAAATGACAGCAATAAATAAATCACGAACATATTTGTGGACCAAAACCAGATTTCCTCGCTCCTCTGGCAAGTATTCTGCTGCTTAATTAAAACAATTCAACAGCAGTAAAAAACTAAGAATAATAGTTCCAGTAGCTTAAACTTGCTCTGCTCTTTTCATGCTAAGTTAAGAGGCGTTCTGGACCTTATGTAACGCTGCATTTACTGACTGGTCACAACCAATTCTAGGGCAAGACATCTTCCTCAAGTATTTATTTATTTCAAATTGTTTGTTTCTAAATAGATTAAGCCTTTTCACTCTTGATATATCTACTGAAATGAAGAATGCAGTGTTTTTTTGAACATATCTCTACCCAAGGACTTACATTCTTCTGACAGGTTGAGTGTGACAGCAGCGATTCTCTGGGACATGTGTTTCCATCCATTGCTGCTGTCTTGGTTTAAGGTTTTCTGGTTTCGATGGAATAATGAAAATCTGACCACCCTGACACAGACCTCCTCATGTCCCTCGTGCTCCTCCCAAAAGCCCCCCAAGATTCCTCATGATCACACCAAAATTCAGTCTCTCCAGTCCCTTTGAGATCCTTCCCCTGGTCTTGTGATACGCTTTGTCTGCCCAGTTTTGAGTTCTGAGCCTGAGATTTCCCCTCTGACTTGCGGAGTCCATCTCCTCCCTCTCTGTCTCTCTGAAACCTATGCTCAAATCCTTCTCACTGACCTTTGTAGCCAACCAGATAACCTCTTGCTTGGCTTTCTCCACAGCTGCAGAGCTTCGGCACTGGCAGGGATTTCATAAATCCAAATATGCTAGAATACTCATGAAAATCTGTCCAGTAAAACTTTCAGATCAGAAAAGGAAGACACATTTTGAAGAAAATGGAGATGAGGTGTCTAAAGCCACCTTCATCCATACTTCATAAGCATCTCAGAATAAATTCAAAAGTTTAAAGGTTCATTTAATGGCTTACTTAAATGGAAGGCTTGATTATCCCCTCAAAATTCAAAGCATATGAGCAGCCCTTCACTGCCATAAAGTGAAGGTGAAGCAAATATTCGTGATGTGACATAAATCCTAAAATGCTGACACGTAAGATCAACAAGGAAATTTTGTTTATATGCACCCTTTTGGTGCCCATAATATAGCACTATTTGCAGCTCTCTGATCATGATTAAAAGTCAAGCAAAGCTTGCTTCTCAAATGATATTCTAACCTTTCTGACGCTAGAAGTAATTGTTTGCTCTATAACTAATTATTTTGCATCTGATATTCCAAGGTATCCCATTAAAGGACCCCAAACTGCCTCAGAAAAGGTGAAAAACTCAGCCCTAAGTGCTATGAAGTAAGAAAGTACTCCTAATTTTGTATAGAAAAAAACGAAAAGGAGGCTAAGCTAAACAGGTCTGACAAAATTTTCTTTCTTACCTGCCTCAGAGCTGTGTTCCTTTCTTTTTTTTGATGTAAAGAAAACAGTAGTTGTTTTTTAGGGAGGAGTTAACATATTTGTGCTTATGGAAGAATTGTCTTATGCCTAACTTAGCAAATTTCAACAATAATTTCATAAGACTGATTTGGATTGATTGCTACCAGACCCATCAGAAAACCTACTTTGGTCCTTGTGAAGTGTCTATCAAAACACACCATGAATACTAATGTTGTGTCTATGATAAAAAAACATTAATGCTTTTAGCTCAGTCCCATCATGAATTGAGCTCACATCGTATATCCAATACTCCTTATAAATCAGCTGAGGCATCCCGAGCCTCATTATCGTGAAGGTGACAAAGGAACTTGCTGTGTGCAAGATAACAGTGCCGGGCAGATGGTCTGCTGAGAAGCAGGACAGCAGTTCTCTTCCCAATGGACTGTGATATCATATTTTGATTCATACAGTCCCTTATGAATGCAGGTAAGTAAGCTACTGAGGAGAGGAAGGATGGTAAATTCTGGAAAATGAAAGGTCTGTAATAAAATGGAAGGGTTATAATAAATTGCCTGGTGCTTCTGACTCTTCTGGGAGTTAGAAGAATGAAGGCTGGTTGATAGTACTGCAGTATAGATGATGGATGTGCTTTTCCAGCATGTAACAGCTGAAGGGCTGTTTGATCAGAGAAAGGTCCATCAGAACAGGCAACGGGTGCATTTCTGCTCCAGCTGCATTGGAGGCATCTTCTCACACACAAGAGCCACAGCTTGCGAACAGTTTAGACTGTTTAGACAGGCATATAGTTTAAATGAGTTTAAATGAGTATGAAGGAGTATCCTGAAAATCTTCACAAGCAGGCTAGGGGCTAATACTCATTACCAAGGTGGCTGCTCTTCCAGTGCCTTCACAAAAGGTGCCAGACTCCAAAAAAAAAGAGCCTACAATACCTGATAGGAAGCAAAAGGGAAGCACCAATTACAAAGCCTGCTGTTCCTCAATTAGAATGAGTTTTATCTCCCCCATTAACTGAAATTCCTCCTGAGACATTGCCTATCTGAACACATCACTTAATCTTGTAGAAAGCTTCAGGACTGAGGGATTCTTGCTATTAGAAGTTTTATCAGCTAACCTTATTGAAGATAAATGGTTTTGAACTTTCATGGCAACAGTGATGAACTGCTTTAACATCCATGCAGCGCAAGCAGAAAAATCAGAGCTTTTAGACAAAGCAATAAATACATTCAAATGAAAATATGAGATTGATAGCAGAGTTTTCATGTGGTCCTAAAACCACTTTCCTTATTCCCATGCACTGAATGCCAGCATAGAAGACGAGCCACTTTCCTGGACAGTGAAATCCTGTTGGTTTGTCTTCAAGAGAAGCTCTCATATTTCTGCTTTCTCAATTAACGGAGATCAATTTTAAAAATAAGGAAAACACTGCTTAAACACTTTACTAGCTGGGAAACAAGAAAGGATCTTTCTCTTCAGAGTGGACTCCCTGGCCAGTTGACTGTGGCTAGAGCTCAACATCTCCTACCTTTTAAGGACAAAGCCAAAGTATTCCTAGGCGTCCTATGAAGTTGCAAGCACTACCTATGTAGGCCTTTTCTTCATGTTAAAATCTCTCGTTCATCTATTTGAGATAATATATGTCAGACAGCTAGCTT